CCTACCTACCATACCTACCTACCTACTTACTGCTTATTTATTTACTTGCCTTCTTCCATACCCAGCTACTTACTCACTGGACTGTGCTCTGCTGTCCTGTACCGTCCGGTACTGCAGCTCTTTTGACATACCTGACCACCAACGTCTTGGGCCTGACATGCCCCTCCCGAACATGCCGGTGTTGCGAAGGAAGAGGCCGAGGAAATGATGAAGCGGCTGAACCTCGCGAAGCAGAACATGATGAAGCCGGGATGCTTTTGGGGGCTGAGGGGTTTTGAGATTCAGCACAGGTCACGATTTTGGAAAGGGATCCCTTCTGTCAAAGCTTCAAGGGGGTAAGGCTGACAGGATGAGGATTCGGGGTTAGTTTCGGTTGTTGTTGTTTTTATTATCCTTCTTCTTGTCCTTGGTTGTGCATGCTTGCAGTTCATGAGTCCTTCCGCAGTTGCCTGTTTTTCTTGTTGCATTTCGGCCGTGCATACCGCATACGGTTTGAGTAGCACCACCAACAGCACAGTTGCGCAACTACGACAATCAGGCTACACGAACCCGGCCCTCGACCCCTTCAAAAACCCTAGAAAGCCCCGAACCTTGGAAAAACGCAGACAGGCCCTCCTTGTAGCAGAAGAGTAGTGCTGTAACAACCTGGCCATGTACTCCATGAACTCATAGGCCACGAGTCCTGCTGCCATCGGTCGCGTCGGGCCACATGTCGGTCTACATGACCAAGAAGCCTAAAACCAATCCCCCTAAATGAACCCTTGTAGAATCTGTTTTTTTTTGAACTTTCCAGGAATCCTAACACCAATCCCCTAAATGAACCCTTGTAGAAACCTATTCTACTAAGCCTTATATAGGAACTTCACAGGAATCCCGGAAGCAACCCTGAAAAGCCTTAGAGGAACCCTGAGACCCCAACCTCGTTGTCAGATCTCGAGGCCTCTGGCTCATCTTAGGGCTTAGGGTTTCGGAGTTTGGGGTTTAAAATTTAGGGTTTGGGGTTTCGGAGTTTAGGGTTTAGAATTTAGGGTTTAGGGTTGTACTTGAAATCCGTACATGTTGCCGGCTTAGAGCGTCAGGGGTGCGGGCGTTTAGGTTTCGGGTTTGGGCGCACTGTATAGAGTACGGGTATAGGGCTTAAGGAGTTTAGGGCTTACTGCTCAACATGCTCCGGGGGGCTTTGGTTTCAGCGAAGTAGGACGTTTTACCGCCACACGTCTGGGGTGTAAAGCCTCAACCCTAAATCCCTGATCCCTAAACCCTAAACCCCTAAACCCTAAACCCTATATCCCCGATTCAAGCGCAGGTTTGCGAAGGTTACGCCCGAGCAGGATGCAGAGGCGACAGCTGAGGTCGGCTCCGGTTTAGCGATGAGTAAGGCGATTAGCGTTTGTCGGGGTGTAGGGTTTAGGGATTAGGCCTTGTTTGTAGAGTATGTAGTTAGGGTCCGAGGAGGGTTTGGGACTGCCTCGAGCCACCCATTCTCCCGTTGTATGAATGCATGGAGTCTAGGCAAGTGCCACAAAGCCGCTTCCGCCGCCGCTTCCTCCGTTGCCAAAAGAGGGGCCGACGCTGCCGGCAGCTGGCGAGGTGGCCGACGAGGCCACGCCCCACACCTACGGGCCATTGCTTCGACCGTCTATAGATCTTTCGACATGTGCATGGCTTTTGTAGAGCCATGGCTTCGCCAGCACAGGGCGATTTGAAGGAGGTGATGGAGCGCGCAGCGGACCTGCTCGCGGAAGTCCGCAAGCGGCAGTCCTCTCGCGGAGTTTCCGAGCCTTTGCGCGCAGTCGCACAAAGGGTGAAGGCAGAGCCGCAGATGGCTTTTGAAGTGTCAAGAAGGACGACCATGGTCAGGCTTACAGTCAGGCTTACAGCACCTACAGTCTCCATTGTAGTTCTTTTTTTGGGGATACCTTTATAAAATCCTTAATATAATATAACATAATGTGTATATATATATATGATAGGTTAAACCAAGGATATGATCAAAAAGGAACCTGGACAGGCGGTTTACGGCCGCTCAACCCTAAACCCTAAACCTTACACCCTAAACCCTAAGCCCCTAAACGCCGTAAGCCCTAAACCCTAAACCCCTAAGCCGCTGCAGGTCGAAGCCGAAACTTCGTCGTTTGACAGGGCAGCACAGGCAAACCTCGCCTTAGCCGTCTGCTGAATGATCTCTGGATATGGCATACACACTACCCTGTATATCCCGAAACCCTAGATCCTAAATTTAGATCCCTAAACCCTAAACCCCGAAGCACTAAATCCTAAACTTAGATCCCTAAACCCTAAATCTGCAACCTTAGACCCCTAAACCCTAAGCCCCCCCCCAAAAAAACAGATCCCACCCCTCAGAGATCAAGTCGGGAGGCCGGAGCCCGAGCACTTGCATCCTCATCACCGAGCTCAAAAACCGAAAAACCGTAAATCCTGAACCTTAGACCCTAATGTAGGGGCCGAAGTAATTACCTATGTTTATTTTTTGGGGGGGTCTTTCTTATAAGTATAGTATAATGGGCCCCAAAACCCTATCCCCCACAAGCCGGCATATTAGAGGCTTGAATAACGATAGCAATACAGTATCCCCTAGCATTTGCTGACTTTAAATGTATGTATGTATGTATGTACGTATGTATGTATGTATGTAGGTATGTAGGTATGTAGGTATGTAGGTATGTAGGTATGTAGGTCGGTAGGTAGGTAGGTAGGTAGGTAGGTAGGTAGGTAGGTAGGTAGGTAGGTAGGTAGGTAGGTAGGTTATGTAGTGGGGGATACTTTCCCAAACCATAATACCAATTTCCTAATGTAGAAACCCTACATTTTACTATTTAGGCACTTGGGACCCTTTGGGTACAGATGGTGCTTTACCGGGCTGGGGTAGGTTTGCCGTGGATGAAAAAGCTTCGGGTCGTTGAGGGCCTTAATGCGGGGACCTCAATAATTAGAGTAGGGTTTGGGGCCCATTATCCTATAATTATAGTAAGGAACCCCCAAAAATGGTATTGGTAATTATTTTGGCCCCTACATTCCGTCTTCCCTGGCTTTGGGCTTAGCACTGTCCAGAGTTTCGCGCTTATTTCAAGGCCTGGGGTTGGCGCATCCACGGAACGGTTGCTCCACAACGATTGCATCCTGAATGCAGGGCGAAAATTACCTACTCAAAAACTTCCACACCCCGCAATGCCCATAGGTGAGAAAGCCCGAAAATTGTAATTTAACCCTAAGCCGCACTTCTCGGCATTTGGAGCGTGAGGCAGCGCAGGAGGATGATGAGGACGATCCGAAATCGGATGCTGAAGGAGGCCACTTTGGAGCTCGCAGTTAAGCATCGGGCTTCGGGTGTAGGCCCCTTTGAGGGTGGTAAGGGCTTGACGACTGCTTGACAGGGGCTATAGGGGCTTTAATGATTCGAACAGGGTTTGGGCGGTATATCATACTACAACTTTAATAAGCAACCCCAAAACCCTACTCTAATTTTTAAGGCCCCTACATTACACTACACAACAGACCCAGGGGTTTCGGTGATGCTGCTTGGGTTTTTCGTTTGGTATTTTCGGGTCACTGGTTCTTGCCGGTTTCTGTTGCCGTCCTATGGCTTCGATTCTACGAGTATCGAGCCTTCAGAAATCTGAAAATGTCAAGTTGTATCTTCAAACCATGAACTCTGCATAATAAACCCTATAAAAGCTAACCTCTAAATCCCAACCCTAAACTCTAACCCGTAAACTCTAAACCCAAAGCCCCAAACTTTAAACCCTAAACTTGAAACCAACCTAAGAAGGCTTGTGGGAAGTCCGAATCGGCCCTTCGAAAGAGAACATAGATAGATAGACAGATAGATAGATAGATGGATAGATAGTTAGACAGATAGACAGGTAGATAGTTAGATAGACAGATAGGTAGATAGTTAGATAGATAGATAGATAGATAGATAGATAGATAGATAGACGGATAGATAGATAGACAGTTAGTTAGATAGATAGCTAGAGAGAGACAGACAAAGAGAGAGAGAGAGAGAGTAGATAGATAGATAAATAGATAGATAGATAGATAGATAGATAGATAGATAGATAGACGGATAGATAGATAGACAGTTAGTTAGATAGATAGCTAGAGAGAGACAGACAGAGAGAGAGAGAGAGTAGATAGTTAGATAGACAGATAGGTAGATAGTTAGATAGATAGATAGATAGATAGATAGACGGATAGATAGATAGACAGTTAGTTAGATAGATAGCTAGAGAGAGACAGACAGAGAGAGAGAGAGAGAGTAGATAGATAGATAGATAGATAGATAGATAGATAGATAGATAGATAGGTAGATAGGTAGATAGACAGATAGATCGACGGATACTGGTGCCCACTTTGAAGCAACCAAAAATGTCAGCCAGGATTCGGGTA